TGAGGATACAGTCTAGATGTATGTTCCTGTAAAACTTCCAAGTAGTTTACATACTGACAGACATCCCTTGTGGTTCTGTCATAGGGACAGAGCCTACATCTTAAGTACCACATGTCAGAGAACATATCAGACAATTACAAAGAACTTCAGCAACAGGCCTAGAGAGAAATGTCAGCTTCCTGTTCCCAAACCTGACAGTCAGGTTAGAAGGTAGAGATGGGGATACAGATGGTAGGAGTAAATACTTCTTTTAGGCTGTACTCTTCTGAGGACAGGAGTGCAAATTCTCCTCATTGTGTGATGTATGATTAAGGAGTAAATGGCTAGTGGCTACCCAGACAGAGCTGAGAGCAGAACCCAGGTCGTTGATAGACTGAAATTCCCATGTTTTTCTTTCTGTTGGTGTGAAAAGACATTTTTTACTTGACTCTGCAAATTTAACCAAGGCCTGGATTAACATTTTCTAAGACAGTAGATATTTTCTAAGTCAATTTTATTTAAAGGATTATTACAAGGTATAGAATTATAGGGCACATAACTTTGATTTATATAAAGGATTGTTATGAGGTATGGAATTATAGGATATGAAAACCAGAAGGGAACTTAGAGTTGTTTTTTCAGCCCTTTCATTCTTTGCGTGAGGAAACAGAGCTCCAGAAGGATTAAGTGACTTACTTTGGATTCTTTCCAAGTTAGTTTGTGACAGCCAGAAATAGACCAAGGGTCTTCTAATTCAGAACTCACTGCTCTCTACACTCAATTGTTCTGTATGTAGCCATCATAGAAAGTAGGTTTAAATTAAATGAAATTTGGAAACTGCTAAATTTAAGTACTTTTAAGCTAATCTAATGAGGCATGCCCATGAGGTGAATATGTGGAATACGTGGAAGAGTGTGTGGTATAGTGTTTTAAATGGTGGAAGGGGAGACTCTGAAGTTAGGCAATCGGAATTTAAATACTGGCTGTGCCAGTTACTAGTTGTTGGACCTGAACAAGTTGCTTAGCCTTGTTGAACGTCAGCAGCCTTGTCTATAAAACAGGCATAATAATAGCACCCATTTGGAGTGTGGTTGTGAGGCTCAGATAAGAAGGTTGTATATAAGATACTTGCTTCATACGAGTTTCTAGCACCTAGGATCTATCATTATTCAACATCTTAGTTATCATTTTACCCGAGAGACTGAAAACTTGACCTGTGAAGACAATAAGCCCTTAATTTAGGCTTTTAACCCATCCCAGGTTATTCCTTTGCCCCAAACCTCCCTTCTTCAGGTTTCCCATGATAGGGCTTTGTAGTCATCTTTCACGCTCTCTCTCTTTTAGGCCTGTGCTCAGTCACCTGTTCTATGTTGTTTGTTTCCACCGTTTCTCAACTCTTTCTTTATCTCCATCCTAACCCAGGTAGGCCTGGATTACTATTCAACCCTCCTACTTTCTTTTTCTGACCACAGTTTCTCCTCCCTCTTGTCTGTCTTATTTGTTGCTGCCAGACTGCTTTTCTCTGCCTTGAAATCTGTAATGAGTCTTGTCTGCTGCCACAAGGCTACATTTTTTTGCCTGACCTCCAGGTCCCTCTAGAACATCACTGACTAACAAAAATAATGTCAGCCATACATTGATAAGTTAAAATAGCCACATTAGAAAGTAAAATGAAACAGGTAAAACTACTTTTACTAGTATATTTTATTTAACAGAAAAAGTGTTTATAAAATAGTACCGTTTCAACACGTAATTGATATAAAAATGAATCATAAAAATAGTTTACATCATTTTTGAGGGGTCTGTGTCCTCAAAGCTCTATATGTAGAGCTGGAGGTTAGCTCAGTGGTTGAGCACTTGCCTAGCATGTGTGGAACCCTGGGTTCAAATCTCAGCCCCACAAAAACATCTCATGTTTATTCTACCCTTGATTTAGACAAGCCACATTTTCAAGTACTCAATAGCCACATGTGGCTAAGGGCTATTGTGCCAGATGGTATATTTATAGAATGTGACTTGTCATCATTGTCACTCTCACAAACAAAATATACCTAAATCTCACTTTTTCCTTGTTTGTTAAAATAAAATAGGGCTGTATTATGCCTATTTTACAGGGTTGTCTTAAGCCACTGTGAAGTGTGAAAGTGCTTTGTAAGCTGTAGTTCTGCAAAAATGTATGGACGTTATTATCAGTAACAAAGGTTTTACTGACATGAGAGTAGGCTATCTTGGAAGTGAAGTAATTTGAAAGGTAAGACCGTGTTAAGATGGCTGGGGATGTAGCTTAGTGGTAGAACATGTACTTAGCATGTGAGAAACATTACCTTCAAGCAATGAATGGGGAGTATAAATGTGTACTTTCTCCTGCTACTTCTTTATAATGGTCTTTTGGGAAGATATGTGTTACATTAATAAGGTTCTCTACTCTAAATATTTTAATCTGTGGAGCTTTTTTTCCTTCAGCATTTTGAAAAATTGATATAGGGGTATTTAGTTTTTCTCTTGAAATAGGAACTGGACTACTACAAAGAAATTCATTCCTTTTGGTAGGAAATGTAGCTTACAATGTTTTGTAGGTACTGAGGTAGGAATGATATTAAATTTTTCTCATGTACAATTCATTGCAGAGGATCAGAATTGACCTAAAAGTAGAATTTCAGAGATTTAGATGTTGAAACTTTGCACAATGTTTTCAATCTGTGTTGTCATTGTTGTTATTATTATTATTACTTGGCAGTACAGGGGTTTGAACCCAAGGCATTGTGCTTGCAAAGCAGGTACTCTACCTCTTGAGCCACACCTCGAGCCCTCAATGCATTATTTAAGGAAAATTTTAAGAGTAGTTATCCTGACAGATTGATGAATAAGATTACCAGTAATAAGGGCACATTATTTTAAAGATTGACAAGTCATTTTCCTCAGTGTTGGAAATGGAACCCAGGGCCTTGCATATGCTAGACAAGCCTACCACTGAGCCACATCCCCAACCCTTGATTTTTTTTGAGACAGAGTCTCATTTTGTAGCTCAGTTGTACTTGAACTTGCTTTGTAGCCCAGGCTGGCCCAGAGCTTTTGATCTTCCTGCCTCTGCTTCCCAAGTGTTGGGATTATAAGCATGTACCACCACACATAGCAATATTAATGAGTTTTAAAGTAATTTCTAAATCTTATTCCCTTACTTTACCAAATAGCCCACTCATCTTTCTTTAGTCATACTCTGAACTATCACATGGATCTTCAGGAGTTTAATACATAATTTAGATGTAACCATAGAAGTTTGCAGTCTGGAAGGAAGATTGCTAAATGAAGTAACTCAAAAGTCAACTTTATAAAGTGGCTTCTGGTTAAAGGACTCCACCACTCAAACGTTTTCCCAAGCCGAAAACCCCAACTAAATGCATGACCCGTTCTCTCTCACCCATCCCTCTAATTTGCTACTGAATTCTTACAACTCCACCTCTTGAAATACTTCTTTAATCTGCAACCTCCTCTCCATCCTCGCTGCCCTAGCTCAGGCTTTCATCACTTTTCTCATAAGCTATTGCAACAGTCTCCAAACCAGTTTCTCTGCCTCAAGCCTCAGCCTCCCCTCCACCCTGCAATTTAACCTACAACAACTCCCAAAAGAATGATCTTGTGAAAATACGGATCTGATCACACCACTACCCTAATTTAAAAAAAAATGCTGTGTTCTTCCCAGGGCCACTGAGCATGGTGTACAAAGCACTTTACAGTCAGAACCCAAATTATCTAGTTATCCTTGCCTCCTGCCATATACTCAGAGCAATGATAATCAGATTACTCGTGGTTCTCTGTAAGTCTTACCTTTTATGAACTCTGTTCTGTTGGATGGTCCCCTCCACCCCTCATATCAGTGAGGCACATCATCCTTAGGCTTCTTCAAATGTCCCATCTTCTACTTCTTTTTTTAGCCTCCATCTCTCATGGTGCTTTGGGAGACCGTGAAACTAGAAGAGCATATGCTGTAGTTGTATGGCGAATGGACAGAGTATACCTTCATGAAATTTAAGTCATTTACTTCATCTCTGTATTATTTCCTCTTGCTTTCCACACTCCAGCTGTACTGGCCTGATTGGCATACCTTCAGCATTCACCATATCACCTGTCATCTTGAGGCTTCTTCATCTTGAGGCTTAGGTGGCCGTCCAGTCCATCATGTTACCAAGCTGTGCTAGCCATCATCACCCTTTCTGGCCCAATCCTCTGTGACTTACTGAGAGCTACCATCTTCTTTTGGCTTCTCTTCATTTTGTGATGCTTTGTTTTTATAGCCATCACTGACCAGGTAGCATGAGCCTGTCCTTCCTTCTGTTCTACAAACCAGTCAATCAGAGCATGTTGTTTGTTGACCTTGGCTCTTTGGTTCTTTGCTGCTATTCATAGCTTCTTGGGGTGCCTAGAGGATGCTGCTTCTTTGTCAGTACTTTTTGTTTCTTTTCTTTCTCCCCTTATTATAGATTTTGGAGCTTTCTGAATGCTTGACAGCGCCAAAAGGGTTGTCTCCAAATAAGTGTGGCTCTATTCCTATAATTCCCTCTTATTCTCATTTAAAAATGAAAATATCGCTTGGGAAGAAGAATCTTGGTTAGCAGAATTCATGTGGATCTTTCAGTAGCTAATTATTTGTCTCCATGAAGAGTAACACATTTAAAAATAACCACACCTCACTCTTTCCTCACTCCACACTCCTCATCAATGTCAAGCTAAGGTAACTGAGGTGTTTTTGAAAGTTTGGTTGAGCCAAAATAGAAAACTGGACCTCTTGAGACAAAGCCCTCCTTCCATAATGAGTGAATGTATTGTTTGCTTGAGTTCTTTGCTCTTGATCATTAAAGCTAGTAGATCTTTGTGAAACTGATTGTTCGATCAGTCAAGATGCAGAATAGAATTAGGTTAAGGAGTGATCGATTTGTTGATACTTGGCTATTTAGTGCTTGTTTGCAGTTTATATAATGTTCATTGTATAATCGGGAATTTCTTTGTAAATGTTTGGTTTTCAGGCTGGTTGGAAGGAAAATCACGCAACATTCATGAGCGAACTAAAAAATCTTCAGGCTTCTGGACTGACTACTCTTGGTCAGGCTCTAAGATCCTCATTTGATTTGTTAAATCTCAATAGATTAATATCTGGAATAGACAATTATGGACAGGTAAAAAAAACTTTGAGTGAGTACAGCTAATTTATTTTGGTGACTTGGGGTAAGAATTCAAAATTGGGCCTGATTACCAAGATTTCAACTATTTTCATATTCTCCCAAAAGAGGTTCATATGTCTTTTAAATTTACACTTTAAAGAACACCCTCTTTTTTGGTCCTTGTATGTGGCTTGGTTACAAAATAGCTAAAATTGTATATATCAGATCACCAGATATTTGAGAATGAGGTAAATAAATTGTTGAGAAATACTGGAACACTTGGAAAGAATCATTCCATGTCTTTAAACTGCCCCCCCCCAAATCTGAAGAAAAGTCTAGAAAAAGAGAAAGGAAAAAAAAAGAGAGAGAGAAAGGCAAAAAACCATCTGCTGCTGATACCATTGCCCTTTTCTACCTTAAACCTCTGCTCACAATCTTCAGAGTCACCCTCCAGGTAACAAGAAATGCCATTAGTGTCCCCCAATCTGTGCCAGGATGGTGAATGGATTCATGAGCGTGGTTGATACTGCCAGTATAATCCCTTTAATATCACTTTGTGATTAGTTGGGAAGCAGAGAGAGGTGTTTTGAATGCTATGGTTTGAGGAGTTCCTGAATCATAAGAATTTCTCAGTTAGTACAAATATTTTGATTCCCTCTCATTTCAGTCCTTAATCTTTTTCTTCTTATTCATCCAGGCAAATTTTATCATTTATTTGAGAGCTCATTGGCAAGGCAAATGTAAAAGTTTAAATACGATTTTATTATTTTATACAGCTCTAATGCTTTTTAAATGTATTTTAGGGGAGAAATCCATTTTTTTTAGAACCGTCTATTTTAATTACCATCACAGATGGAAACAAGTTAACAAGTACTGCTAGCGTTCAAGAAGAGGTGAGATTTAATTTTTTTTAATTTCATTTAAATGGCAGAGAACATGCAGCTATTTCTGTGGGAGGCATGCATTTCTAATTAAGAATAAAGTTTGGACAAACCTCCTAACATTGGTAATCCCTGAGATGGCTTGATTTTATAGAGTTTCGTGAAAGAAAAGTGAATCCTTTAACTCTTTCTTCATTTTTATATGGGTTGTAATGATGAACCTTTTCAAATTTTGCCTTATCAGCTTCATCTTCCTTTGAATTCTCCTCTGCCTGGAAGTGAACTAACCAAAGAACCTTTTCGTTGGGATCAAAGGTTATTTGCCCTGGTGTTGCGTTTGCCTGGAGTGGCTTCTACTGAACCAGAGCAACTAGGGAGTGTACCAACTGATCAGTCAGCCATCACACAGATGTGTGAAGTCACAGGAGGTATTGGCAATAGTTCACATTTCTGAAGGAAGACTTTGGGGCCCTAGAACATAGTTTCCGTTAGATGCAAGAGCTAGTCTTTGCTTGTTTTCCTTATAAAACTTTTAAAATTCTATTTAAGCTCAGCATTGGTACCAAGTTCCTGCCAATGTAGTAATGATTATTCCAAATTATATTTTAGGATTTCAAGTGCTTATATTATGAAATACCATTTTATTTATTTGACCATGCTCTTTGTTTTTCTCTCTGGGATAGGTCGCTCCTACTGTGTTAGAACACAAAGAATGTTGAATCAATGTTTAGAATCTCTAGTACAAAAAGTTCAGAGTGGTGTCGTTATTAATTTTGAAAAAACAGGACCAGATCCACTACCTGTCGGAGAAGGTACAGTAGATAACCTTTTAATGCTAAAGTATTGTATAGAATGATCTGAGATGGAGAAGACATTAAGCAAATGACAATAGATAGTTTTCATTATCCACATTCATCACATGGTTACACACACCCATCTAAACAACTGTCGTACTGTTATCGCTTATGTATATGTGTCAGGTGGCTAAATCTAACAACTTTAATTTCATTGTGAATATTGTTAAGAAAGTCCTCCTTTTCCTGGCCCCAGTATTGGGATGACACTGACTCATTCACCTCTATGTGCACAAAATATCTGACATTCATTTTGGTGAGATACTTGAGTAGTGATCTGATTTGGGACTTCTGAGCACCAAATACGCTGAACTGTCTTTATGAAATCTGTGTTAGTTACCAACCAACAGCAAGAGATTGAACTTATAATATTCTAAAAGGTCCTGGTATTTTCCTGGTCACTTTTTCACTATAGAACCTTTCTATTCAAGTGAGATTTTACAGAAAGTCCAACATCTAAAAATAAATACAAGCAGAGCTGCTTTTGCATAGGGGAAGTTAAAACATAGTGAATGTCCAGATGCCTTTTTTTTTTGGCAAAACTATGTTGGGGGGTTTTGTCATCTCTCTCTCTCTCTCAATCTCTCTCTCTCTCTCACACACACACACGCGCATTATTGGCATATATTAAATCGTACATAGTAAGGGGTTTCATCATGACATTTCCATACATGCATGTGATGTTCTTTGATCATAGTCAACCCCTGTGGATGTTTCTAACTATTCAAGTGCAAATGAATTTCAAAGGGATTGGGGGAGCTAAATGGCACCATAGTAGGGCATTGCAAGACTTCCTTAGAACTCTGTTCTGCGTTATTGCTTCTCCTCATTTCTGTCAGTTCATACACATATACGTGTGCATACAAAGACTCATTATTACCGTGGCGCAATGTCTGATGTTCTCTGTACATTTTAATTGTGAGCCACACATTTTAATGCCTTGGCCAAGGCCAAAGGGGCCAAATGCACAGGGCAGAAGCTACACACTTCTGTCTGAAGCAGTGGATTTTTGGTTCCTGACTTTTTTTTTCTCTTTAGTTCCTGGATCTCTTCGAGAAACTATTAGAAAAATACAGACTCCTTTCCCTAGAAAAAAGGACATAGGGCACACATACACACACACACAATTTTATTGCAACTTTAGGAGTTTCTTGGACTCCTAAGTTAGTAACACCTGTTATAGAAGATACAGGCCTTAGAGCATGTTTTAAATTCATTGTATAGGAAGGGCATGCTATATTGCTACCAATTAACTGCCCAGATCATAATTTTGTGTTTCATACCTTAATGTGAATTGGGAACTTTCATAAGGAAATTCTAATTGGATTTGGTGTCATGTAAATTACTCAGATTTTCTTTCTAGCTCCAGTTCTGCTTTGTCCAGAGTTCTTAACCTTTCAGATTCTGATGAAAGCAAAATTCTTTCCTCAGCAAAATGCCCACCCCCAACATGTGAGCTCAACTTCAGAGGGATCCTCCAAGGCCATAACCTGTTTTCCCTGGAGTCCACTAAACCCTAGTAAATCTCCTGGTCTAAAGTAATTGCTAGTTTAAAGTAATGCTGAAATAAGTGAATCGAATGGCCTGTAATTTAAGAAAAATGAGACCTAAGTAATTTAAACATATGTTTTATAAATGTAATTTAGACTAACAAATCATGACTTGAAGGGTTGTTACTCTGCTTGGTTTTTTTTTTAAGTAAGCTAGTTTAAGTAATTAAAATGCATTCATGATACATTACTGAGGTTTATACAATGCCCACTTTCCATGGAATTTTAATGGTGGATGGAGACACTAGAGTGAATTAGCCCACAATAACCTTGCTGCACTTGTTTCATGTTCTCTATACCCCAACTACATACATACATACATACATACGTACTTCTACCTTCAAGTGAATTTGGATAATTTTTATTTTGCCTTTGTGGTCATTGGCTCTATCTGTTCAGTAAAGAATATTTTTTTCCAGTTGGACACAGAAAGAATATACAAATGGAATTCATGATCTATTTTGTCCAACACCAAAAATGTAAAAACTATATCAGGGAAAAATGATTTAATTTGCCTAATTTGGTAATTAAATCCTTTAAAGATGACTGTAGTGTTTTGGTGTGTTCATGTGTCCAAGTCTCAAATTTAAAACTAGTTTTACAATAATTTTCCATCTATCTACATATTCTCAGAGTCGTTTAAGGATAGTGGGGGTGTTCAATTAGAGGGGATGGATTAGATGAAAAGAATTGCTAGAGAACAATTAGAAATCCTAGTAACTGTCACTTTTTTCTTCTTCCATTTTTCATGAGTTATTTTTGCTTTTTGTTTTGTACTTTGCCTTTAGTTGAGAAATTTGTACAAGAAGATTAACAGCTATACTGTCTTTTGTTTAACTTTTTTTTATGTTTTCTTTTTTGTTTAACTTTTAGATGGACTTATGGATTCATCTAGGCCAAGCAATTCATTTGCTCCTCAACCGTGGCATAGTTGTCATAAACTTATTTATGTACGACCTAACTCTAAAACAGGTGTTCCTGTTGGACATTGGCCAATTCCAGAATCTTTTTGGCCAGAACAGAATTTACCTTCACTAGTAAGTGTTATAAAACAAAAGTAAACCTTCTAGGTTTTTTATTTGCTGATTACAGTGAACCATTTAGAACAGAGTTGATTGAGGCTTTTAAGCTGTTCCATGGGTAAGTGTACCTATCTTCCTTCTGTGCCTTTTGTCTCTAACTAGAAGTCTAGCTAATGCCTTAAAACAAAGGAGGACTTCCTTTATTTTATAGCACTTTTCAGTCTTTCTTTCAGTTGCCTTTGTCACTTGGGGATGTTAAGGCATTGTCATTTTCCATGTTGTCATCGGTGACTTGGTTTTATTTCAGAGTTCTGACTTGATTTTACTTGGTAAATGCAATGTCTAAAAGCACCAGCATTGATTTTCATGTATAGCCTCAGAAAATTTGAACCTAGTTTATACTTTGTGTAGGTCCTAGAGACATATTCAAATTATCTTCAAAGTTCTCCCTTCATTAGACATGCAATGAAACTTGGTGAACCTACTTTTCATCTGTTATAATAAATGGCTTTCTGTTCTATAGCAATTCACTTTTTAATGATGGACAATTAAGCAATATTTTAAAAATGATCTCTAAATGAAGGCTTGTCTTTTGGTCACTGAATTTGGTACAAGAGGGGTTGCTATTATAATTACTCCTTGTATCAGATGAATTAGCTTTGGCGGAGGTGGGGGGGGCGCATCTAGTAATAAAGGAGATTGTATGAAACCTATTCTCTCCCCTACCATGCAATGCAACAAGGACTGAGTAATCCATCTTGTGATGGCTAGGGATGGGGATGGGGAACACAAACATATCACTGCTCCTCTAGTTTACCACCTTCCTGGTTCAGCTAACCTATATAGTTTAAGTTATAGAAATTTCCACAGTGAGCTACATTTTCTCCTGGATTGCTATTTTTAGGCTCCTGCATTTTTTGCAGGAGTGGTTATGGGACACTTGAATGTAAGAACTGAAGAGCCCTTTTGGCCCCATCTGTGGGTGAGGACAAGGTCTTATTACCCCAGTCCCCCGCCACCAAGGCTCCAAAGGGTAAAACCTGTCAAATCTCAGACCCTTCAAACCTCCAAGTAAATGTTTCTATGACAGATTTACTTCATTATTGCTAGTGATGGGGCTTTACTCATGTGTCTATTGCTTTTTTTTTTAACGTGTTCAAATCTAAGAAGTCAGAAATAGCTCACAAGGTTAATTAAAACTGAAATCAGGGGCTGGCAGAGTGGCTTAAGTGGTAGAATGCCTGTCTAGCAAGCACGAAGGCCCTGAGTTCAAACATCAGTACCACCAAAAACAAACAAAAAAACCCCAAATCAGGAAAAACTAGAATAAAGGAAATTCCAGGTAATCTACACACAGTTCATATTAGCATTCCTTCATCTTTTTTCTTTCTTTTTTTTTTTGGTGGGGGTGGTGTTGGGGTTTGAACTCAGGTTCTTGTGCTTGCTAGGCAAACGCTCTGCCACATCTCCAGCCCTTTGTGTTTAGGTTATTTTTTAGGTAGAGTCTCACTTTTTGTCCAGGCCAGCATTGGGCTGCAGTCCTCCAACCTATGCCTCCTGCATAGCTGGGGTTACAGGTGTGTACCACCACACCCAGTTGTTCGTTAAGATGATCTTGCTAACATTTTTACCCCAGCTGGCCTTGAACCATGATTCTCCTGATCTCCACCTCCCAAGTAGCTGGGATCACAAGTGTGAATCACCATGCCCAGCCCCATTCCTTCCTCTTTAAAAGCTCATTTGAGAGCTATTTTCTTAACCCTCAAACATCTTGTAGGTTTTTAAATGATAAAGGCATATGGATGTGGTTTTCTCTTTTATAAAGGATGCAAAGAAGGCTGGGGTGTAGCTCAGTGGTAGAGTGCTTGCCTGGCATACACAAGGCCCTGGGTTCCACCCCCAGCACAAAAAATGAAGGAATGCAAAGATTTTTATGATACTCATATTAACCTTCCATGTCTGTCAGCCCCTGCTGTCCCTCTTACCTCTCTATTGCTCTCCAGTCTCACAAGCTAAATCTGATAATAAAATAGCTTCACCATTAATATTGTGATACCCCAGTTACACAGGCTTTTGCATCCCTACCTAAAGCATCTCCAGCTGCAGCTATTCAAGGCAAGCATGTGGGTATTTACTATAAAACTCCATCTAGACTCTGGAGTTGTGTCTGGCTCATTGTCAGTCTGTGTCTTGCCCTTTCCATACCTTTACTAGTTTTCATCTTCTTAGTGGCTCAAGCTGTGCCATTACCTCATTACAAAGTTTGAAGGATTCTTCCCCATTAGTATGTAATTTACCATTCCTTTTCTCAATGTTAAGTAGATGGTAAAAATAAAGACTGAGTCCCCTCCCCTCCATGGAAGCCATTGGTGATTCCTGGATATGTAGTAACTCTCAAAACACTATTCTTTGTCTCAGTGATGATTTGACAATGTATAAAAATGGTTGCAAAACTGTCAAATGTAAGCTTGCTTAATACCCAATCATATTTTCCTTTTCTTTTTTTTAGCCTCCACGAACATCTCATCCTGTTGTGAGGTTCTCTTGTGTAGATTGTGAACCAATGGTAATAGACAAACTGCCCTTTGACAAATATGAACTTGAACCTTCTCCCTTAACTCAGTACATCTTGGAAAGGAAGTCTCCCCATACCTGCTGGCAGGTATTTATCTTTACCTGTTAGTCAAATCTCTTTAACTAATCTGGGATCTGGGAATTGATTTAAGAAGTTTCAAAGGGTAATCTGGAAATATTGGACTGTGTCTTTTTCTTATAGATGCTATCAAATAAGCAACAGGGCCAATAATTTTAGACTGGTATGACTCATTAACCTGCTGTACATTGCCATTTAAGGCAGTAGACTCTGATGAAACCTATATACTTGGGGTTTGAGGGGAACCCCTTAAAATCCATGGAATCTGTAACCCAGAGGATATAATTCTATTTAGACATGGCTTTTGCAGCTGAAGCAAGGTTCTCAGTTCTTAGTTTAAACTTGACGGATTGGAAACAGGACTTTTTGGGCAGAGAATCTTAGCCCTGAAAATAGCTTCTGTATTAGTGTAATGTAATAAAACCTTTCTTCTTGTAGTAGAGACCACACTGAGGTGTGTAGTAGGATTTTACTTAAGTGATAACAAATACCAAGACATCATAAACTGACTCTTCCAAGTGTTATGCTTCAGGCCAGAAGGACTTGCTGATTGGTTAATAGAGTCACCTATGAAGTTTGAGTTGAAAAAATCCAGACATGGCAATCACAGTCTTCTTATTTGGATGCAACAGAAAAGTCCTACACTGTAAGGATGTTTGTTCTATTACTAGACAATATAGCAGTCAGTAATTGACTCTACTGCTACAAAGAACACTTTCAGACTTCCATCTATTTCATTGTAAAATGTGAGATTTTTGCAACTAGCTCTCTGTAAGCTATGTTAATTCTCCCAGTATACTAAAGCCAGTTAGAAAAAGAAACAACTTTGAATTAAGGTTGTAAAAGGGCAAAAAACAGAACAAATTCAAAAACATAATATTGAGTGAAAGACAGCAGATGGAAAAGATTACATATAATATAATTCCACCTTAAATACATTCAAAGCAGGGTAAAGCTCCTTTACTCTGTTAGAAGTCAGGACACTGGTTCCTTGTGGGGAATTGTAGTCATGTCTGTTTCTTGTCCTGGGTACTGTTTACATATGTACATCTACTTTGTGAGCATTCATTTAGCCATGTACTTAGAATCCTCCCAAATGCTAGAAATGTAGAGATATGGATAATAGAATACTAACTTAAAGATAGACGGTTTGAATTTATATGTTGAAAAGCATGTTTGCAACAATAGTAAATAAAATTTCAAATTATACTTTTTCTCTAAAATAAACCTTCTTTTTGTTGTCTTTGGTGGTACTGGGATTTGAACTCAGGGCCTTGAGCTTGCTAGGCAGGCACTCTACCACTTGACATTCCCCCAGCCCTTAAACCCTCTTTTCTATGTATCATTCCTTGTAAATCTTCTCCAAAGGAATTAAAGGAATCCTGTCTTCACTCTTGTAAAACACCTTAAATATGCCATAGTCGTTTGTCCAGACCTTATGTTACTTTGTTTTAGATTAATTTAATGTGATTAATTAGTGGAGGTGAAAAATAATAAAATGAATCCGGAGGCTAGAAATCTTTTATGATGAATTTTTCCCCTCTTCTAATACATACACTTAAGAAATAAGATACAGCCCTTTTATTAAAGTTATCTGTTTATATTAAGATTTAAATTGCAATCCAAAGTCTAGTAGAATCATGTTTTAGCACAACTATTGTTTTTATAGAGTCATAAATTATGTAGCAAAGATTTATTTTTAGTAATAACTAAATATAACAAGAATTTAGTGATATTGCTGATATCAAGAAATAACAAGGTAAATGAATGTTGTTAAACATAAGGATTCATTTTCTGTCTTAAGTAATCCTGCCAAAGGACTTTGGAAAAGTAAAAGTCTAGGTCTCTAAAAGTATATACTGGTATCCTGATGTGAACCTGAGTCTGAACATGAAACACGGTAGCTGGAGGACTCCAGCACAGCACATCAAGTGTACAGAGGCTGACAATATCATATATATCAATTCAGGAATATCAATAAGGAATAAGAAGATAGTCATATGGAATAAGATTAATGAATCTTTATCAAATGTTTGATATAGCAATGTATCTTACAAGAAAAACTGCCTTCCAGATTGAACCAAATCATTTCCTTGCTGCCTCAAAATAATTTGCAACAGTTCCTGTCTGAGCAAATATTTACTGAGTGAAAAATGAATAAATGGGGAGGAGAACAAGATGACAAAGGGAAATAGAGTTAGACACATGAGGACTGTCTATAAAAATCCCTTAAATGGACTTTGCTTTTGTACTTTGCTTTTTGTACTCACTTTAGGCATGGTTCCATGCTTAAAGTAATTCTACTCTGATCATTCCATGTTTTGAGAAGTTTATTTTAATGACCGATATCATTTAATGGTATTTCAGCTTTATTTTCCATTGTACTAACCAAGTAAATATTTGGATATTGTTGATATGGCCTATGGTGTCTGAGTGATTATTGCATCATATAATTACATTTAGATACAACTAATGGAAAAATTACAATCTGAACATTCATATTTTAGTATGTTGTATTTTGATGTACCTATAGGGGAAAAGTACTATTCCTGTTTTTTAAATATAATTAAATTGTGCCACAGATGTTGCTACTAAATGTTGCTGTGAATTTGGTTTTACATAAAATCATTGTCATAACTGTACATTATTTCATGTTCCTCTCAGGTATTTGTTACTAGTAGTGGAAAATACAATGAACTTGGATATCCATTTGGTTATTTAAAAGCCAGTACGACTTTAACTTGTGTAAACCTCTTTGTGATGCCTTACAACTACCCAGTTTTACTTCCTCTTTTAGGTGAGTAATATATGTGCCATTTAATCATCTTTAAAATACAGCAAAAACAAAAAGTAGATAATGTGAATCAAGTATTTTAAATGTAATCAAAGAATAATTGCTGCCAAATAGATATAAGTATAAAGTAATTTGAAAATACAGAATGTGCATATTTTCTATTTCATTTTTATTGCTTGTACATCAAACAACTATCAAACTCAATAAATATTTACTTAGTAACCTATCATAAGGCAGGAACAGTTGCAGATTATTTTGAGACAGTGAGCAGATACTTTTGTTCAATCTTGAAAACATGAAGCTTGACCTTTGGTGGATGATTCTGTTCTTTGGGTTGCAAACTCTAATGAGCACCCCTCCCCATTTTTGAAGTACACTTGGTTTTTTGTAGTTTAATTTGAATCCCAAAACTAGGGGTTTTATTGGAATTAACTTTTCAGGAGTTTCATGGTTTTCTTCAGAAAGTAGGCCTTTGGGGGTTAATGGTTTGTGCTTCTTTTTCTCCAGAATATTAAGTGTTCTTGAGACATCTGTTTTAGACAGGGTGGGTGGTTAAGGTAATATTTGCAAGGTCAATTCTTTAATAACTACGGTTATAGAAGCTATGGCATCCATGGCAAAATTCTAAAAGAAACCTCTGAAGCAGCTGTTACCCAAACAGTACTAAAAATGTGTGTGAAGATATTTTTTCTCATCTGGAGAGTCATATCTGTTTAGAATAGTGTACACTGCATGGTTTTCCTCTAGTTGTAGAGTTCTATTTAGGAAGTTACTGCTTATGCCTATATGTTGTGGTGTATTCCTTACTCTTTCCTAAAGTAGTTTCAAAGTTTCAGGACTTATATTAAGGCCTTTGTTCCATTTTGAATTGATATTTGTATAGGGTGAAAGACAGGGATCTAGTTTCAGTCTTCTACATGCAGATATTCGGCTTTCCCAGCAACATTTGTTGACGAGGCTGTCTTGGGCACCTTTGTCAAAAATCAGGTAGCTGTGTAGATTTATGTATGGGTCTTCTATTTTGTTCCATTTGTTTTTCATGTCTGTTTTTGTGCCAGTGCCATGATGTTTCATTGCTATGGCTCTGTAGTATAGTTTAAAGTTAGACATTGTGATACCTCCACTGTTGCTCTTTTTGCTCAGTATTGCCTTGGCTATTCAAGGTCTTTGGTGTTTCCAAGTGAACTTTACAATTGATTTTTTTCACTCTCAGTGGGGAATGTCATTGGAATTTTGATGGGAATTGCATTGAATATGCAGATTTTCTTGGTAATAAGGCAATTATCACTATATTAATTTTGTGAATCTATGAACATGGGAGATCTTTCCATCTTCTGATGTCTTTAATTTTTTCTTTGTAAGTTTATAGTTTTCATTGTAGAAGTCTGTCACTTCCTTTGTTAGGCTTATTCCTAGGTATTTTATGTTTTTGAGATTATTATAAAATGGAATTATTTTCCTAAATTTTTTTTCAGTCTCTTCATTGTTGGTATATAGAAAAGCTATTGATTTTTGTATATTGATTTTGTATCTGATACACAGAAACTTTTGAGTTTGATATTATCCCATTTGTCTATTTTTGCTGTTACTTCTTGTTCTTTGAGGGTCTTGTTCCAAAAAAAAAAATTTAATGTCCTGAAGCATTTCCTGTACATTTTCTTCTAGTAATTTCATAGTTTCAGGGCTTATATGTAAGTATTTGATCAGTTTTAGATTGTTGTTTGTAACTGGTGAAAGAAAAGGATCTAGTTTAATTCTTCTGCATGTAGATATCCAATTATCCCAGAATCATTTATTAGAAAGAGTGTCCTTTCTACACTATATGTTCCTTAGCATCTTATAGGAAATCAGTTAGGTAGCTGTAGATGTATGGACTTACTTCTAGGTTCTTTTATTTATGTATTTATTTTATGGTGGTGGTACTGGTATTTGAACTCAGGGCTTTGTGCTTGTTTAGGTAGGCACTCTACCACTTGGCCAGGCCTCTAGTTCTTTTAGCTCTGGACATTTTGGAGATCGGGTCTCTCTAGTTGCCCAGTCCACCCTGGACTGTGATCCGCCTACTTCACGCTTCCTGTCATAGTTGAAATGACAGGCACACACCACCACACCCAGCTTTTTTCCATTGAGATGGGGTCTTGAAAACTTTTTTTGCCCTGACTGGCTTGGAACCACAGTTCTCTTGATCTTAGCACCCCCTGTAGTTTGTAATGATGGCTGTTTGCCACTGCACCCAGCTCTTGGTTGAAATGGTGTCTTGTGAACTTTTTGCCTGGGCCAAGCAAATGATCCTCTTGATCTCTACCTCCCAAGTAGCTAGAATCACAAATATAAGCCACAAGTGTCCAGATAGGCTCTCTCTTTTGATGCAGTGGTCTCTTGTATTTATGCCAACACCATGCTGATTGGATTTCTATAGCTTGCAGTATATTTTGAAGTCAAGTACTTTGTTTGTTTGTTTGTTTTTTTCTTTTTGCTCAAGATTGCTTTGACTATTTGGGATTTTTTGTGGTTTCACACAAATTTTAGAATTGCTTTTTCTGGTTCTGTAAAGAATGTAATTGGTATCTTGATAGAAATTGCATTGAATCTGTAGATTACTTTGGGTAGAATGGAGATTTTAATAATATTGATTCTTCTAATCCATGAACACAAGATGTCTTCCCATTTTTTTATGTGCATCTTCTTCAGTTTCTTTCTTTTTTTATAGCTTTCATTGTAGAAATCTTTCCTTCTTTGGTTAAATTTGCTGGAGAAGTTTTTTTAGCAATTGTAAATGGAATTGCTTTCTAGTTAAGATGATTGGCCATTAGCATATAGCAACACTGCTGATTTTTGTATGTTGATTTTATGTCTGAAACTTTTTTAATGAATTTGTTTATTAGTTCTAGTAGTTTTTTGGTAGAGTCTTTCAGGTTTTTTAGATATGAGATCGTGTCCTAACAGTGACAGTTTGATTCCCTCTTTTCCAATTTGTTTGCCCCCCTCCCTTTTTTTACTCTTAATTAATTGCTCTGGCTAGGACTTCCAGTGGTCATTCTTGTCTTATACCAAATCTTAAAGAGAAAGCTTTTATCTTTTCCCTACTTGGTGTGATGTTAGCTGTTGACTTATCATATACAGCCTTTATTATGTTGAAGTATGTTCCATCTATGCCTAATTTGTCCAGCATTTTTTTTGTGAAAGGATGTTGAATTTTATCAAGGGCATTTTCTGTATCTATTGAGGTGATCATATGGTTTTTGTCCTTCATTCTGTTGATATGCTCTGTCATATTTATTGATTTCCATATGTGAAACCATCCTTGCATCCCTTGAACAAATCCCATTTGATCATGATGAGTAATATTTTTAAACACTGTTGGATTCAGTTTGCTAGTATATTTTTTTCCTTAGCATATAATAGTTGTAGAGGAGGATACATTGTGATATTTACATATGTGTTTACAATATATCTTAGTTAGATTTACCCCCTCTATCATTCTTCTTTGTCCTCCCTCACCCCCTTCTTAGAACAATTTCAACAGGTTTCATTATTTTGTTTTCATATATGGATACAAAATATATCCACCACATTCCCCCTCATTCCCCCTTTCCTTATGCCCTCCCCCCTCCCACTGGTTTCCATCCCTGGAAAACACCTGTTTTACCTTCCTGTCCTTCATTTTTTAAGAGTGTATTGATAGTCCAAGGAGTTTTGCCCTGGCATTTCAGACAAGTACATATTGTGCTTTAATCAGATTAGCCCCCTCCCCTTACTTACTCTTTCTCTATCACCCTGCTCCCTTATTACTCAACAGCTTGCAGTATATTACTTTATGTTATATTCATATAGAGATGTTTCAATATTTTTCACTAACATTCTTTTTCCCTCTCCCACCTGCTGTAGTCCCCTCAGACAGATCCACTAATACAATATTGTTCTCTCGCTCACTATGTAAATATATATATATGCATAAAAGGTCATATATATATATTCATGTGTTTATTGAATTTATAAATCTAGCTTCCACTTATGAGGGAAAACATGACACCTTTGACCTTTTAGTTTGCTGGTATGTTGTTGAGGATTTTTGCATCTATGTTCATCAGAGACATTGGCCTATTTTCTTTTTGTTGTGTCTTTGCTTGCTTTTGGCATCAGGCTGATTCTGGCCTTGTACAATGTGTTTGAAGAGCCCCTTATACCTCAATCTTTTGGAATAATTTTTAAATTATTGGTATTAATTTCTTCTTTAAATGTTTGGAAGGGCTGGTGGAGTGGGTCAAGTGGTAGAGCACCTGCTTAGTAAGCATGAGGCCCTGAGTTCTAACCCCAGTACTGCCAAAAAACAAATGTTTGGTAGATCTCAGCAGTGAAGCCATCTGGTCCTGAACTTTTCTTCGATTGGAGAATTTTTATGACTAATTCATTCTCCTCACTTGTTATTGGTCTATTCAGGTTTTGTGTTTCTTCATTATCTAATCTTAGTAAGGTATATGTGTCCAGGAATTTGTTTCTTTTATATTATCAAATTTGTCAGTACATAGTTGTCCGTAACAATCTCCAATGATCCTTTGTATTTCCTTTATGTCAGTTGCAGTGTCTCCCTCCCATATGGTTTATTTTTTCCCTCTTATATGTTAAGTATGGATATAATTTTTCCACAAAATATTTTTGACCTGCAGTTGATCGAATTCATTGGATGTAGATCCCAAAAGAGTGCCAGTTTATACTAGCTTTAGAAAATGATTGGCAAATGTTCCTCCTATTTTATAGAAGAGAAGGTATATAATTAGTGTTATATTATTATTCTTTAAACATTTGATAGGATTTTTCAGTGAAACTATTTGGACCTGTATATTCCATACAGGCACTTTTAAATTATTAATTCAATTTCTTTTATCGTTATAGGGTTTTTCAAATTACGTATTTACTCTTATATATCATAATTCTTTGTGCTCTTACAGAATGAGTCCATTTCATCTAAATTGTCAAATTTATGTGCATATGGTTGTCCTTAA